CCATCGTGCTCACAGGGCTGGTCTTCCTCCTCTGTGGACTGCCCTTTGGCATCCACTGGTTCCTCTTAATCTGGTTTGAAAAAAATTTCAATGCCTTCGTTCCTCGTTTCTTGGCGGCAGTTCTCCTGTCCTGTGTCAACAGCTGTGCCAACCCCATCATTTACTTCTTCGTTGGCTCCTTCAGGCAGTGATGGTGGAAGCGGAGACACACCCTGAGGCTGATTCTCCAGAGGGCTCTGCAGGACACTCCTGAGGTGGATGAACCTGGAGAAGGCCTTCCTGGGGAAACCCTGGCCATGTCGGGAAATCTGGTGTCCTGATTCAGAGTCTTCCTTTGTTGAGACAGAAGTGACTTTGAAAGCCAGCTTTGTCCATCTCATTTGATTCGTTTTCTTACCGTGTTTGCCCTCTGGGCCCCGGAATAAAAACAATTAGCATAATAATACAGCTCCTGGGGTGTAGTGAGCCAGTGCCTGTCAAATAAACACAGAGTACAATGTCCCAGGACTGCCTCACCCAAGGCCTTCACCCCATCCCCACGGGAGCTTTGCCATCTCTGAGGTCCAGGACTGCTCTCACATTTGAAGAATCCCACCTCCAGCAGAAGATGAAAGAAGTGCAGGAAAAGTCTAAATTTCTTTCATCACTGAACTTGATAGAAACTGCATGAACATTACATTTTTGACAAGTTTTTGTGATCATTCTTCTACAATGTCTCTATAAATTAAATTAATTAAAGTTCAATCAAGCCCCAGTGACCAGTCCCTGATGACTTTGGCAGGCCTTGGACTAGCTCTTTAGCATAATAAATGTGGATTGAATAAGTGAATTAATGAATGAACATATGGTGATTTTCAACTCAAGTCTCTGCTAAATCCCCATTGCCAGATTTGAGTCACCCTCTTTAAGTACATTGTTTTCACCATTTTTCAACCTTTGCAAGCATGAGCATTCTTTCATGAGCTTATTGGTTACTTGTATTTCTTTTTCTTTTAATTTTGT